ATCTGGACCCATGGTGAGGCAGCATCAGGTGGAGGAGGAGGTGGTCCACCTGTTTTTCTGGATCCACGGTGAGGCAGCATCAGGTGGAGGAGGAGGTCCACCTGTCGATCTGGACCCATGGTGAGGCAGCATCAGGTGGAGGAGGAGGTGGTCCACCTGTCGATCTGGGTCCATGGTGAGGCAGCATCAGGTGGAGGAGGAGGAGGTCCACCTGTTGATCTGGACCCATGGTGAGGCAGCAGCATGAGGAGGAGGTCCACCAGTCGATCTGGACCCATGGTGAGGCAGCAGCATGAGGAGGAGGATGTGGTCCACCTCAGGGAAGAAAGGAGTCGGGGGTTAGGGCAATGGGATATATTCTGCAAAGGTATGCCCCCAGGAACCCATTTCTTGCCCCATCTTTTAGAGTTTCTACCACCTCTCCAAATGATAATGTCAGTTGGAAATCAAGCATTTAACACATGAGCCTGTGGGGGCATTTCATATTCAAGCCATAACAGTAACCCAAGTCAATGAGGGGAAAAAGTCTCCTTACCGATTTTTCCAGTAAAGGAATGAAAAAAAGAAGATAGAACATCTTCATTTTCCAATTTCCAATGAAGTCATTCATGTTAAGAATTGAGTATTAGTGTGTTCTCCAAGAGAGAAGGCCAGATATCCGGTATGCCATGAAAGAACACAGTACTCATGCTGGAAACAAGAATCAGATGGTAAAGTACTTGCCATGACAGCCTGAGGACCTCAGTTTAGTCCCAGCACAGAAGCCCACACAACACCATGCACCTGGAATTCAGCACTGAGGAGGCAGAGACAGGCATGACCCAGGGGCAGTCTCCAATCTGTGAGAACCCAGCTGGGCCATCATGTCATCTTCCTTTATCCTGTTAATTTTCTCTTGTGAGCTTTGCCCTTCTCTTAGGATACCTTCGGCGGGATTTTTTTACTTCATTGTATCAAATGGGACATCTATGTTGACTTGCTGCTCTCTCAAGACCCAGGAGGGACCTTATTGTGGAAGAGTGGGAAGAATGCAAGAGCCTGAGGATGGGGAGGAATGCTGTGGAATGCTTGCCGTGAAAGCATGAGGAGGTATGTTTAATCTGCACCAAATATCTGGGCATGGCATGTCCATCATATTCATGAACTCACAGTACCTGTGGTTACCTGCATAATAGCAAGCCAGATAAAAGTCTGTATGGGTGGGATAGATGATATTCAGGGCCCGCCCCTTACTGAGGAGCTTTTAGCAGTTGGTAGTTGCTGGGGGAGGAAGAACCACTGTTCTTTGAGGATGTGGCCATTGGTAGGTTTCCCACACTCGATTGGAAGGTCCCAGACCCATGCACACAGGCAGCACTAACTGGACTTAACAGCTTATAAAAAAAGACATGAGTTTGAAAGGGGGACCTGTTGAAGAGGCTACGGGGGAACTGGAAGGAGGACATGGGGGATCAATATGAACATATTTTGTGTATATATGTATGAATTTCTCAAAAATAAAGAAAATACTTCAAAAGAAATTGGGAATACAATGGGCATACCACAACACAATGAAAGCTATATATAAAAAATTATAGATAGTTTTATTTAATCTCTTTCATACATTCACGTGATTTTGTTTATGCATTTTTGTCTTTATTGGACATTACTTTTTTTCTTTTCCTAGTTTCTTTTGTTTTGTGTTATCCTCTGTGGTTTGCTTCCCTCCATATACTTAGTAGTATTTTGGCTTTTTCTTAGTGTTTTTGATTCTCATATTTTTTTTAATTCCCCTTCTTATATTTCTCTAATTTTGTTTTTGAAGTTTTTTATTACTGGGAAATCTTTTCCCCTTCTTTTTCACTGAATCTCTTTCTGTTATTGAGCTTTTAAGAGAAGGCTGCTCAGTAGCAAAATCCTCACAAAAAAATCTGGAAGACATGATGTGCAAATCACAAGATAGAAATGTAAGAGACATAGGAAGGCAAAGCAACATGACTCCTCCAAAGGAGGCTTGACCCCCAGCTGCTGAAGTTATGATATTGAAACAGGTGAAATGCCAGAGGAATATTTCAACACTTTTCTGGTAAAAATAATCAAAGACCTGAAAGAGGACATCAACAAGTAGATGGATTCAGTAAGGATCTGAGGAGGAAAGTCAGCAAAATAGAGGAAAATGTCAAAATAGAGGAAAAACAGATGAGAAAACCAGAAGTATGGGTGAGAAATAAATAGAGAAGAAAATTCAGTGAGGAAGTTGGTATCCAAAAAAAATGTTAGAAAAAAAAACACAGTGGGAAGCAGCATCAGAAGAAAGAACATCAGGAATGGAGGATGAGGTTGATGAACATCAGGAACAGAGGATGAGGTTAGCAAAATACTATGTTCAAACATCAAGAAGGAAAATATACATGAACAATCATGACCACCACATTGAGGAACTCTGGGACACCATCAAGATACCAAGTCTATGAATTCATGGGAAAAAAAAACTGAGATAAACACTATAGACACAGAGGATCCACTCAATGAAACTGTAGCAGACGAGTCCCCAAATCTAGAGAAAGAAATAGGTAACCAAACATAGTAAGTACTTAGAACCCCAAACAGACAAGACCTCTACTTGACAAACTACAGTCAAGAAGGGGAAAAAACATACAAGCAAAGAAACAATATTGTCAAGGGAAAATGCCAACCCACCTACAGAGACAGAAACATAGAAGAACATAACATCTCTTGTCAGCAACCCTGAATGCCAGGAAGCATGGAATGATGCATTTCAAGTTCTGACGATAGATAGATAATGGCTAACCAAGATTGTTATATCCGTAAAAACTACCTTTTGAAAATGAGACAATTTTAAAAGACAAGACAAGCACTAACTAAGGCAGACTGTGACCACCAAGCTAGCCCTGTAAAATTATTAGAGGAAGACTATAAGCAGAAGAGGAAGGAAGACTTTGTCAATCACAATTTCATGAGAGGAATAGGGAAACCTAGGAGTCCACCAGGTCCCACACAGTAACCAGCAAAACCCTGATACCAATAGGGGAGGGTGATGGTTAATCTTAGCTGTCAACTTGACTCAGAGACAAGCTTCTGGGCACACATAAGATATTTTTTTGATTAAGTTAACTAAAGATCTACCCTAAATGTTACTTTCCAGTGGCAGCTCAGAAATAAGGAGGTTGAAGGGAAAACATTTTGTCTTTTGCATGCTTGCCTTTGCATTTTTTTTCTGTGAGTTCATCTACTCTGTTGCTGCTATTGCCACTGCTGCTGCTATCATCATTGCTGACATCAGGACTCAGCTTCATTCACCTTCCAACATGGTTCTCCGGAAATCCTCCAGGCCATCAGTGCCAGATTGGAAATGTTGAGGTATCTATCCTCAGAGTCTGAACAGATGGTGGGTCTCAGCCTCATCAGGGTGAAGTCAGCTATTGTTAACCTACCCAGAAGAAATTGTGTAAACCAACCCAGTAAGTCCCATATGCTATCATTTCTGTTCTCCTAGAAAACTCCCCTAGAGAATTAATACAGGAAGAACATAAAGAACAAACAATAGCCGCGTGGTGGTGGTGCATGCCTTTAATCCCAGCACTCGGGAGGCAGAGCCAGGCAGATCTCTGTGAGTTCGAGGCCAGCCTGGGCTACCAAGTGAATTCCAGGAGAGGTGCAAAGCTACACAGAGAAACCCTGTCTCGAAAAACCAAAAAAACAAAACAAAACAAAAAAAACTAAACAAACAAACAAACAAACAGAACAAACAATAAGATAAGAAGCCAGAAAAGCAACGAACAAAATTATAGCCATTAGTAAGCATCTTTGTTGTGGAACAATCCTTTTGTACACTGTGAAGATATGTTGCTGTCATTGGTTTAATAAAGAGCTAAATGGCAAATAGCTAGCCAGGAAGAGGTTAGGTGGGACTTGTGGACAGGGAGAGGGCTGTCTGGGAAGAAGGAGGGCAGAGTCGCCAGGAGATGCAGGAAGAAGCAAGGTAAATACTTCGTGTTAAAGAAAGATAGTGAGCCATGTGGCAGAACTTAGATAAGAAATATGGGTTAATTTAAGTTGTAAGAGCTAGTTAGTAACAAGCCTACGCTATTGGCTGAGCATTCATAATTAATAATAAGTCTCTGTGTGGTTATTTGAGAGCTGGCTGGTAGGACAGAAAATCCAGCCTACCAATGGCACCCAAGGTGGGACCACATACATCCACATAAAGCCTGAGAAAGTTAAAAATAATGTTCACAACATGGAGTCAAATGTGGCTTCCTGGTGACCAAGGTCTTTAGGGTAGGCTCAGTGTACAGAGACTGCCTGCAGGATAGAGCCAGCTGCCTGTACCATGTGCTATGCTGAGCTGCGCTGGCAACTGACATAACAGTTTAAGAATCAACTCATACCATGTGGTGGTGTTGCATCCCTTTAATCCCAGCTCTCAGGAGGCAGAGGAAGGTGAATCTCTGTGAGTTCAAGGCCAGCCTGGTCTACAAGTAAGTTCCAGGGCAGACATAGCAGTTACACAGAGAACCCCTGTCTTGAGAAACTAAAAAAAAAATAAATAAAAAATAAAAAAAAAGAGGGGGGAGGGGAGATTGGTCTTATGTAATCAGAGAACACTGCAGATGCTCAGTAAAGACATAGTCAGATGGAAAAAATAAACAGGTTAAAATATACATAGGCTTAAAAATATTTAAAATGTATATAGGCTTAAAAGAGAGAGAGAGAAAGGGTATAGACAGTCTTAGAAAAATAGTTTAAAAATAATGTAAAGTCTTTAAAAAGAAAAGTAAAATAAAAAAATAAGCCATGTGAAGATAGAAAATACACAAGGAGTCTGGATCCTGTATGGTATTGTATTGACTTTAAAATTTTCAATTGCTGATTAAAAGCAATAGCTGCTGAGAGACATTGGATTGTGTTGGATGCTGGATTAAGTCAACCTATATATTTTTAAAGTGTTTTGACTTCAAAAAAGAAGTCAAAAGATGTGTTGCTTTGGGGAAAAGGTTGTACTTTTGTTCCCACAGAAAACTAAAGGCTGTGGATTTGTTGAGGGTTGAAGATCAGGTTTGATTGGGGTAAGACACCCTTAAAATCCTGGCTATAGACATAAAGAAATAATCCTAAAAAAAAAACAAAAAACAAAAAATACAGGACAGGTGATGTATATTTTATCTGCTCAAACATAGAACAAAAATTCATCTTTAACTGACTTGTGCACCTCACATTACATATTTGTGTTAATACAGATATGTATGTTACCTTTAAAAGTTGATGTGTTTTCAGAACAAGGAGATCAAATGAAGATGGGTGGCACAGGTGATCCAATATCTCAGAGCACCTCTGTTGCAATTTCCTCAGAGTTCTGTACCTAGAACAGCTGGCTGAGATGATCCAGCCTCACAGACTACTCCAGCCAGACTTGACCACTATTCTGACTTTTGTTAGGGTTTCCCAAAGATGCCAGCAACCCCAGAAAGCAGGAAGCAGTCTAGAGAAAACAATGCTCTATTCCCAAGAAATGGGTTATGGGTGTTTGTCATCATTTTGGGGGTTGGTTACAAGTTGTTATTGGTCATGGTCAGGAGCAAAGCTAAACAAAGTAGTTAGATTCAAGGATCTCTTTCTGAAGGAAAAAGGGGGGATATAGTATAGAAATGATGAGATGAAAGGGTAGATTATTGAATCTACTTTAATCCAAAAAAAATCTCAAAATATTTTACATTGGTATGGATTTTGGTTTATTGATATAAGTTAAAAGTTATTTTTGTTATACTATATCTACCTTTCTACTCTTGTTTGAAGTATTGTGCTTATGCAGCTCATTTAAAAATGTAATGTGTAATTAAGAAATACAGGTTAGTAGTTAGTCATCTATAATAATTAAACTTGTAGTCATATTAGGTATGCTTTCAAGGTTAAACAGATATATTTAGATAGATATATGGTCTTCAAACACTTCAAAGATTACAGATGGCATTTAATATGTTTAATATGTTTAATAACCTGAGGCTTTTCATAACAGTGAAACATGGCTGCTCCTGACAGCACCAATCTACTTCAGAGAAGATGATGGGCATCAGAGAACCTATGTATGGAGTTTGCTTTCCTTGTGGCAAAAGCTAGCCTTTTGGGTAAGAAACTGCCCTTGCCTCAACTGCTGACAGTATGCTATCCAAACTGGACAAACAGAACACAAAAGAAAGTAACTGCCGAACTTTGCCAAGATAAGGTAGGACAGTCCTTCAAAATTCCCTACTTCTCAGAAATGTCTGTCAGATATTCTAGGCCTGTAGGCTGAAGATGGATGCCCCAATGTTGCAGAGGAACTTTGGGTGACTGTCCATGCATCCAGATGTCCCTGTTATTAGATAATATTACATCCTTCTAGGGTCTTTGATAGAGTTAAAGACTAAATAGTAAAACTTATGGTTTTTCTTAATTATGATAAAAAGTAAATTAGGTATAAAATTTTAGACTCACAAAGATAAGATAGATAATAGAGTATTTTCTCTAAATTTGTCAAATACAAATGGAGTAGATATTGTAACTGTAATTCTTACTTAACTTTTGTTGTATACAGTTTTTCTATGTTGAAGTTAGAACCTTCCTTTTTAATTAGACAAAAAGGGGAAATGTTGTAGAACAATCTTTTGTACATTGTGAAGATGTATTGCTCTCATTGGCTTAATAAAGAATTAAATGGCAAATAGTTAGGCAGGAAGAGATTAGGTGGGACTTGCAGACAGGGAGAGAGTTCTCTGGAAGGAAGGAGGGTAGAGTCACCAGGAGATTCAGAGACAGCAAGGTGAATATGCTGTGTTAAAAAAAGATACCAAGCGACATGGTAGAACTTAGATAAGAAATATGGGTTAATTTAAGTTGTAAGAGCTAGTTAGTAACAAGCCTAAGCTATTGGCTGATCATTTATAATTAATAATAGGTCTCTGTGTGGTTATTTGGAAGCTGGCTGGAAGGACAGGAAATTCAGCTTATACATCTTAAGTAATAACCTTAGCTATAAATGGCTTAAGCTCACTAATAAAGACATGCAGGCTAGTTGAATGGATTGAAAAATTAGATTAAACTATTTTTCAACTCCAAGAAACATATAGACTGTTATGAAACAATCTATCAAGTGAAGAGTAACAAAAAATAAGCTTGTGTAGCTGTTTTGATATCTGATAAAGTAGCAAAGTAGCCTTCAACCAAAATTAGCCAGAAGAGATAAAGAAAGCCATTGCATATTTGTAAACAACTCAGCAAGATGATATAACAATTGTGTCCTAGTTGGCATTCTACTGCTGTGATTAAACACACAACCAAAAGCAACTTGAGTTGGGGCAGGTTTATTTGACTTATAAGTCCCAAGTCACAGTCCATCACTGAGAGAAGTCAGGAGAGTAACTCAAGACAGGAACCTGGAGGCAGGAACTGAAGCAGAGGCCATGCTGGAATACTGTTTACTGGTTTGCTCCCTGTGATTCACTCAGGTTCAATGGCAGGCTGGACCCTCCCACATTAAATGTTAATTAAGTACAAGTTTCACAGACTTGCCTACAGGCTGATGTGATGGAAGGATTTTCTCAGTAGAGGTTCCCTCCTCCTAGATGACCCTCACTGTGTCAAGTTGACCAAAAACAAAGCAAAACATCAAGAAACTTAGGAGCACAAATAGTGAATCCATATGCATCAAATGCTGTGACTGCCAGTTTCACTAGTAGATAGGAAAGGTTAAGTAGTCCTGATGCCAGAGAGTGGATGGTTTCATTACCTCACTCTCATCTTTAGATAGGTCATCTAAACTGCAATTCCAACAAAGAAATCTCAGTATTGAGACTGGAGAGATGGCTCAGTAGTTAAGGACATGCACTGCTCGTGAAAGGGATCTGGATTTGGTTCCCAGTACCTATGTCAGGTGACTCACAATGTCCTGTAACTCAGGCTCCAGGGGGATGAGATGCTTCTGGCCTCTATGAGCAAATGTACTCATGTGCAAATACCTCCCATATACAGAGAATTAAAAATAAAAATGAATCTGAAAAAAGAGAGAAACTTCAGTGTTTATCACATTATAGATCAAATAGGATATATATGTATGAATGTATATGTATGTATAGTCCACCCAACAAATACATACTACATATTCTCAGCAGCTCATGGAACCTTCTCTAAGACAGATCACTTCCTAAATCACAAATTAAGTCTTTTGCATACAAAAGAATTAAAATAATCTCTTGTATCTTATCAGAACACAGTGGGATAAAATGAAAAATCAACATCAGGGAAAATGACAGTACACAAATACATGGAGATGGAATAACACATCCTTGAATGACTAGTAGGTGGTTGAAAAAGCAAGGGTTAAAAGTGAAATTCCTAGAACCAAATGAAAATGAAAATACAATTTACTCTAAGTGCTAACGTTAAAAAGTGAGAAACATCTCAGATGAATAACCTAACGATGCACCTGCAGCTCCAAGAAAACAAGGGCAACCCAAACTCACGGTAGTAATGATACTCAGGGCAGAAGTTAATAAACTGGAGACTGGAAGAACAACGCTCAGATTGGTCAGATAAAGAATTGAGTGTTTGAAAATTAACAAGATTGACAAACTTGACAAGCTCCTAGCTAAATTAACCAAAGGAATGAGAAAGAAGGTCTTAAATTAATAAAATTAGGGAGGAAAAGGAGAGGTTGTCGGAACACAGTCCAAGAATGGAATTGTGTGAGAATTCTGAGTGCTTGTAAGAAAACCCCAAGAAAGGTCTTGTGACCTCTGTTTCTTCAAAACACAGAACTGTTCTTACAATGTGTTTTCGTGCTCCTTCCAAGTGTAGTGAATAGGAGTGAGTTTACTTCAGCTTTTGTCATTAAAAGTTAGTTTGTTAATTTGTTATTTTGTTACTTCGGTTTTGTTAAAAACATGTTCTTGTCACATGTGGCTTGTCTTTGTGATTATATACTTTACTCAGGTGACTCTTCTTAACCCTCAGAGTATAAATTGTCTGGTGCTCTGAATAAAGTTGGCTATTGCATGAGACTTTAGTCTGCCTCATTTTTAGGCCCTGCTCTCCCAGGTCCATCCCACCAACTAGAGTCGTAAACAGGAGACTGCTAACATCTAATAAATACAGGGTATTTTGAAACCCTATACTCCAAAAATGGAAAAGTCTGTAAGATAATAACTTCCTGGACACATATAACCTATCAAATATAAAGTAAAAAGATGAAAAAACTTAAACAGACCCATAACAATCAACAAGACTGAGGCAGTTATAAACATATCCCCACATGGGACTGGAGAGATGGCTTAGAGGTTAAGAACACTGATGGCTCTTCCAGAGACCTGGGTTCGATTCCCAGTATCCATGTGGTGGTTCACAACCATCTGTAACTCCAGTTCCAGAGGACCCAACACCCTTTTGTGGACAACCCCTTCTGTCCTCTGTGGGCACCAAGCACACATGTGGTGCACAGACATATGTGCATGCAAAACACCTGTACACATGAGATTAAAATTATAAAATTGTAAAAAAAAAATCCCCATACAAAAATGCCCAGAAGTAGGTGGACTCACTGATTGGTTCTTTCTAACCTTTAAGGAAATGCTACCACCAATGATCCTCAAACTGTTCCACAGAATAGAAAAGAAAAAACATTACCAAACTCATTCTATAAAGCCAGCATTATCCTGATACCAAAAAAAGGATAAGGGTACCTCAATGAAAGAAAACTATAGACTACTTTCCCTGATGAGCATAGATATAAAATTTCTCAATAAAATTCTTACAAATACTAAAAAAAATATAAAGAAGATGATCCACCATTGTTGCACAAATCCTAAATGGTCTTATAATAAAAACCCAGAGACAGATAATGGGGTAAAGGCTGAAAGATCAGAGAGACAAAGGAATAAGCCATAGCCACGTCTCAGCTCACCAACTCCTCAGCCAATCTCCACAAATCCTGACTGAATGCCTCTGAGTCCTCAGCCAAAAAGACCTCAGTTCCTGTCTCCTCATGCGTTATATGCCTTGCTCTGCCCCACCATATCACTTCCTGTCTCAGTCTTCCTAGTGTTGGGATTAATGGCATGTATGCTTCTCAAATACTGGTAGCAAAGGCATGAAATCTCAAGTGTTGGGATTAAAGGTGTGTGCCACCACTGCCTTGCTGTTTCTTTTAGACTGGATTAATCTTGTATAGTCTAGGGTGGCCTTGAACTCACAGAGATTCAGACAGATCTCTGCCTCTGCCTCCTCAGTGCTAGGATTAAAGGTGTGTGACACCACTGCCTGATCTCTCTGGCTAACTCTGTGGCTAACTCTGTCCTCTGATCTTCAATCCAAGCATCATTAAGGTCATGAGATTCAATATTGATTGTATCTTGGATCCATTCCTCCAAAGGTGCTGATCTTGCCTTTAATGGCCTAATTACCATTTTGTATTAGCATTTTCTTTTTTTTTTTTCTTTTTTTTTTTTTTTTT